TGCCTCGCACGTAAAGTTTGGGGCAGCAAACACAGTACAGTCGCCGTGAGAAGTGAGAAGTGGCGCGGTGAAGCAGCGCGCGGCCGACTGCTACGCGCCGCGGTGGCTCACTGCCGCCTTCGTGGTAGCCGCGACGCTACGCGCTACGAACGGTGCAAGAACTGAGATGCTACGCGGTTATGTACACTGCATACAGGGTGTATATGTTNCGCAGGCGCCCATAACTTAATTTTTAAAGTTTACCACCTTCCTAGCCGCGACGCTACGCGCTACGAACGGTGCAAGTACTGAGACGCTACGCGGTTATGTACACTGTATACAGGGTATTTCCCGTATCTGATTCGCAGGTGCCCATAACTTAATTTTTAATTTGGAAACTGATAAAAAATCACCCTATATTTAACAACTAGCTGTGCCCCGCGGTGTTACGAAAAACGTAGCCTATTTGTTAATCCAGGGTGTCAGCTAACTTTATGAAATCTCTCCAGCCGTTTAGACGTGAATAAGTAACAAACATACCCTCTCACACACTCACAAACTTACGCCTTACAATAATAATGTGATGGTATGCACGCACGTATGATACGCACTACGAACGGTGCAAGAATACATTGAGATTTGAGATGCTACGATTGTATTTATCGTCTATAGACTGTATTTTTAACAATAGAAACACTTGTAGTTTCAGCTTATATTCAGTTCTAATAATGTTCGCACCGCGAAGCTTATTGCTGCTTTTCGTAGTAGTAGCAATAATATCGTATGGGAAAATTATGCGATTTACTATGTGAAACAATTACAGTTTGGACATTTCACTAATTTACCCCGAGCATCGAGTTAAACNTATATAAAAAAATGTTGAAAGTCTAATTCGCAGGCGTCCATAACTTAATTTTTAAAGTTGACCACCTTCCTAGCCGCGACGCTACGCGCTACGAACGGTGCAAGTACTGAGACGCTACGCGGTTATGTACACTGTATACAGGGTATTTGATTATTTAAATTGAGAATCTGATTCGCAGGTACCCATAACTTAATTTTTAAAGGTTTATAATTATTTTCGCGTACTATTATGTCTACAAAGCGTAGATAACTGTGTATACGTATTTTTCAATGAACGAAGCAAATTATCCACGTGAGCCAATTTTGAAACCGCGCACAGCGATTAATAATAATGAAATATGAAAAAGAAAATTTGTTTTCTTTACGTAAATCGATTAAGTTAATGATTCTTAGTCGCTCCTAAAAATTTGGAAACTGATAAAAAAATCAACCTGTATTTAACAACTATCTGTGTGTTAATCCAGGGTGTCAGCTAACTCTATACCAAGTTTTATAAAAATCGCTTCAGCCGTTTAGACGTGAATAACTAGCAAACATACTCACTTACACACTCACAAACTTTCGCCTTTACTTATAATATTAGTGTGGTGTGATACTCGCTAAGAATGGTGCAAGAATACGATATAGACTGTATTTTTAACAATAGAAACTCTTGCAGTTGCAGCTTTTATTCAGTTCTAATAATTTTCGCACCGCGAAGCTTATTGCTGCTTTTCGTAGTAGTAGCAATAATATCGTATGGGAAAATTATGCGATTTTCATTGTATTTTACTATGTGAAACAATTACAGTTTGGACATTTCACTAATTTTCCCGGAGCATCGAATTACATCGTCAGGAGTCTAGGGAGCGTAGAGTTGGTTTTTGTAACGGTTGTTGCATTTAATTAGTATAATAAGTTTTCTAGTTAAATTATTCCAGATGCGCTTAGGTTACTTTTATTCGATTAAATGAAATCAGTAGTGTAACTGAAATCAACAAACTTGCGAAAAAGCCGTAGATAAACGCTATTATAGTTAGTAATATTCCGTACTCTACATTTATCAAATACGTATCGTGAAAGGCAAAAATATGTGTTGTGCGTAATTAACCAATGAAATATCATCCAGATAAGTAAATCACACGCGGGTTGCGATAAACGTAATCCGTTAATGTAACCCTTCAATCAGATTTCATATTTGAACATTAAATTGGGAGGAGATTAGTAGCGAATCGTCACAATCAAAATAAATCATCCAACTCATTTCATGTGAATGCTAACCTTTCACTTTCATTATTATGCCGAAGATTACCTAGATAAGAATAAAGATCACAAAAAAAAGACCATAGTAAGCTAACCTCATTCAAACCAAACATGACCTTCATTAGTTGGTTTTTATGGGCGGCGAAGTTGTAGATCCTGCAAGCTTATCCAACTACTTAGGAGTTGCAGCGATGGGAACGCGATGTGAGAAACGTCCCGTTACCAAACCAATTTCATAATAAGCGACACATTTCTTTATTAGCAAATAATGTTGCTTACTGTTCTGGTAAAACTGTATTCAGCTGGGCAAAGCTGTTTGTTTTGGTCTTCTTATAACCCAAAATAATGTATGTGAGTCCATTATAAATGTGTGTTTTCATCAGGCCAGAGAAAGCAAATTATTCAAATGGGTTAATTATTATTTTATCTAAAGGATATTTTTAATTACATACAAAAATTCAGCGCATGGTGGTGAAGCTTAGAAAAGAAAAACTAATACTAAAGACGAATTTAATGCAGCACTTACAAGACTCGACTAGACCTGTTTAGGTTCATACTTACCCTATACTATAATATTAAATTATTAGCAAGTAATACTTATTACATTATTGTATTTCACATAAGCGTACCTACTGCAATGTTGAGAATCTTGGAAGCGGAGAATCGCGAGTGACAGCTGTGACGCTCGAATGCGTACGTCACAAAGCACGTAACAGAACATCCATGCCCATTCAGCATAATAAATTATTATGTAGTCGGTACATTACCTGTATGTAGGACAAGTACCTACTTATTTTTTTACTTATTACCATAATAACTCTCTTAAATATAAACTTCAAAGAAAGAAGAAGCGATCCGGTAACTCTACAAATATAGGTACTCAATCAGTCCAAAAGTTCATACAGAATTTTCATTAGACCACTGGGTATGTACCACGTGGCAATTCAAGTTATTAATGATACAATTTTATTCTTCGCAGGCGTCTTACGTCCATGATTTATTGCTCAATGAGTACCTACTTACTCACTGAGTGGGTATTGTCACTGGTGAAAGAACATACAAAACAGCCTAACCCATATTGCAACGTGCCCTACATCACACCTCTTCCATGTAAATAATAAATAAAAGCAAGTAACTCTCACCGTGGGAAAATCTTAAAAGCCAAAGGAAATTATTCATGGAAATGCCTCCAAATTCGCGACTTTTGCCCCTCGACGGAGCTCAATGGCGATTTAGCACCAATTGATCTACGATTTGTAACTTTTATTTATCCTACACTCACTTTACAGATTTGGAAACTTCCAAGATAATGGAAGATGCAAGAAAAGTTGGTGCGATTGTGAATTTGATGTATGACCAGTTAGCCAGTTGGTACCGCTACCGCAATTTGACAAATACTATTGTAAGGGGTACTACCCATCTACGTTTATGGTTGCATAAAATATGCATAGTACATAATACATATAATCAAGTGTGTATAAATGTATACTATACCATAAATGATAAAAACAATAAAATGATAGGTACCTACAAATATAGCAAACCCTAATTTTTTTATTAAATACACAGTGGTTTTAATTGCAAACTCAGTTACCAAAACGAAAAAGATTTCTTTTAAAGATAGTCTCGTGATTCTATTAAAACATTTGCAACAAACGCTGAGCTGATTGCCGCTTAGAGCCGGTGAAAGGGTGTTTGCTCTCGGTAAAAAAATATTTTTCTCTCTCCAACTAGAAATCTCGTTTGTAAAGTGATTTCATAAAATACAATCATCTCTAGACTTACCTAAACAGCTGCTTGTTAGTGCTGCAAAAGTTTTTCAACAGAGAACAAAACTTCTTTCAGAACAACGGTAAAAATTGTGTTTGTTGAAGAAATACAGTTTGGTAACGATGAAGTAGAGTGCAGTTTTTGTCGTCCATTAATAAAGTTGCCGAACTAAAACGCTTTTTAAAATAATGATGAGTTACACAAGAATCGATAAGGACATTTTATTATTTTNGTTAAAAAGGGAAAGACCAACGGGAAAGCTGGTCAAAAGCCGACTCCTAAAAACCAGCAGAAAAGGACGGCTCAGCCTAAACAGGTGAAAGCACGCCCACCCAGCTCGGCAGCAGTGGTACTGTCGGTACAGCCTGGAGCTGCGGAAAAGGGCGTCACATATGAGAAAGCAATCGGTGAAGCCAAAAAACGGATCGATATTAGCGAATTGGGTATCGAAGCTGTTCGCTTCCGTAGGGCGGTCACCGGCGCCACGATAATAGAGGTCCCCGGGGCCACTAGTGACGCAAAAGCGGACTCCCTAGCTGAAAAGCTCAGGGCTATTTTCAAGGATGAGGATGTGCGGGTGTCCAGGCCCATAAAATGCTCCGAACTACGAGTTTCGGGCCTGGACGACTCGGTCACGTCAGACGAGGTGGCGGCTGCGGTGGCGAAACTTGGAGGCTGCCCAGTCGAAGCGGTGAAAGTGGGAAACCCTCGCCGCGACTATACAGGACTATTCGCTGCCTGGGTGCGTTGCCCAGTTATGGCGGCGAAGAAAGTGGCAGAGGGCCGCCTCCTGGTCGGTTGGGTGGCCGCCAGGGTAAGGCCTCTGCCAACTAGAGAGATGAGGTGCTATCGGTGCCTTGAGGCCGGCCATGTTCAGGCTGTGTGTCCGGCAGAAGTGGACCGTAGCCGCCAATGCTTTAGGTGTGGACAAATTGGCCACGTTGCGGCGACCTGCGAGAATGAGCCTCACTGCTCACTATGCGCAACAGCGGACAAACCGGCGGGACACCGGGTGGGCAGTAAGGCCTGCAAAGCTCCTGCCACAAAGATTAGTAGGAGGGCGGCGGCAAGTGCTAAAGGCCAGCCAAAGCCATCCCATCCCACCGACGGTGGGCCCGAGGAGGTGCACATGGCTGGTAGTTAATATGGCCCATAGATTTCTGATGGTGAACGTCAACCACTGCGCCAGAGCTCAGGACCTCTTACACCAGAGCATGGCACAGTGGTCGACTCAAGTCTGCATCGTGACGGAACCGTATTTCGTCCACGAGCGGGATAACTGGGCTGGTGACTCGAATGACAAAGTCGCGATTATTACCAACCCAACAGCCGACTCTCCACCATTTGGTGCAGTTCGGAGAGGTCAAGGCTGTGTAGCTGTTCTCGTCGGAGAGGTGGTGATCGTGGGAGCATATTTCTCGCCAAACCGCTCCATCGCCGAATTTGAAGCGTTTTTGGCGGAAACTGAGACTTTGCTGTCTGGGTGGGGTCGTCCCCACCATGTGATAGTAGCTGGGGACCTAAATGCCAAGTCGGTGGCGTGGGGCTCCCGCATAACCGATCTACGCGGCGAGTTATTGGAGGACTGGCTGCTAGCCAACGGGCTAGTTGTGCTGAACCAGGGGACGGCCGAAACGTGTGTGCGGATGCAGGGCGGGTCGGTTGTGGACGTGACGTTCGCGAGCCCCGCCCTGGCACGCCGTGTCCAAAGCTGGGAGGTGCTGGAAGAGGTCGAGACGCTGTCGGACCACAAGTACGTGCGTTTCGACATCTTCCCCGATCGACCGGCGCCTGTAGCTCAAGCCGTTCCCCGTTAGAGATAGGCCCACGGTGGGCACTAAAGCGCTTGGACCGTGACACACTAGTGGTCGCAGCACTGGTTGAGAGCTGGTCGCCGTGGTTGGACGATACTGAGTCAGACCGCGAGGTCGAGTGGTTCCGTGAGGCCATGACCCACGTGTGCGATGCGGCGATGCCTAGAGTAAGGGCGTTGCCGGCTCGCACTGCAGTGCACTGGTGGTCTCCGGAACTAACTCGGCTCAGAGAGGCGTGTGTTGCGGCAAGGCGCTGCTATTCCCGGCACAGAAGAAGACGTAACCGCGATGAAACGCGGGATAGTCCGCTTTACGCGGTATACCAGGACGCAAAGAAAGCGCTGAGGGGTGCGATTGGGGCGGCCAAAAACGCCGCCTGGGAGGAGCTCCTCTCCACTCTTAACCAGGATCCGTGGGGGAGGCCGTACCGGCTCGTGATGAGCAAACTACGCCCGTGGACTCCCCCGCTCACCACCACCATGGATCCTGGTCTTCTGCGCAACGTTGTGGAGACACTGTTCCCCGAAAGAACAGAACATCAGCCTCCGGTACACTTCAGCTCAGTGGGAGCTAACGCAGATGAAGCACCGGAAGTAACCGAGGGAGAGCTGGGAGCGGCCATCTTACGCCTACAGGCGAAGAAAACTGCTCCTGGCCCAGATGGCGTACCTGGGAAGGCGTGGGTGCTAGCACTCAAAAATGGAATGGAACCTCGGTTTCGGGCACTCCTTACTGCTTGCCTGAGGCGAGGTCATTTTCCTCGGCAATGGAAAATAGGGAAGTTGGTGCTCCTCAAAAAGGGAGGTCGACCTGCTGACTCTCCGTCGGCATATAGGCCGATTGTACTTTTGGACGAGGCGGCCAAACTGCTTGAGCGTGTCATCGCTATGCGCCTCAACAAACACCTTGAGGATGCAGGTCCGAACCTAGCGGACAATCAGTTTGGCTTCCGACGGGGAAGATCAACAATTGATGCCATAGAGCGGGTGAGGGTCCACGCTGAAGACGAAGTAGAACGCGGGGGCTGTGTGGTGGCGGTGTCACTAGACATCGCCAATGCGTTTAACACTCTCCCCCACGCATGTATTGAGGAGGCACTTAAATTCCACGGATTCCCCTTATACCTGCAGCAAATCGTCATGGATTACCTAAGAGCCCGGGAAATAATCTTCCCGACCGCAGATGGCTGGGGCAGGAGGCCCGTGGCGTGCGGTGTTCCACAGGGTTCGGTCCTTGGTCCGCTCCTGTGGAACATCGGGTACGACTGGGCCATCCGGGGCTCAACCCTGCATGGTGTAGGGGTGATTTGCTACGCGGACGACACCCTCGTAACGCTCAGTGGGAGCTAACGCAGATGAAGCACCGGAAGTAACCGAGGGAGAGCTGGGAGCGGCCATCTTACGTCTACAGGCGAAGAAAACTGCTCCTGGCCCAGATGGCGTACCTGGGAAGGCGTGGGTGCTAGCACTCAAAAATGGAATGGAACCTCGGTTTCGGGCACTCCTTACTGCTTGCCTGAGGCGAGGCCATTTTCCTCGGCAATGGAAAATAGGGAAGTTGGTGCTCCTCAAAAAGGGAGGCCGACCTGCCGACTCTCCGTCGGCATATAGGCCGATTGTACTTTTGGACGAGGCGGCCAAACTGCTTGAGCGTGTCATCGCTATGCGCCTCAACAAACATCTTGAGGACGCAGGTCCGAACCTAGCAGACAATCAGTTTGGCTTCCGACGGGGAAGATCGACAATCGATGCCATAGAGCGGGTGAAGGTCCATGCTGAAGGCGAGATTGAACGTGGGGGCTGCGTGGTGGCGGTGTCACTAGACATCGCCAACGCATTTAACACTCTCCCCCACGCATGTATTGAGGAGGCACTTAAATTCCACGGATTCCCCTTATACCTGCAGCAAATCGTCATGGATTATCTAAGAGCCAGGGAAATAATCTTCCCGACTGCAGATGGCTGGGGCAGGAGGCCCGTGGCGTGCGGTGTTCCACAGGGTTCGGTCCTTGGTTCGCTCCTGTGGAACATCGGGTACGACTGGGCCATCCGGGGCTCAACCCTGCACGGTGTAGGGGTGATTTGCTACGCGGACGATACCCTCGTAACAGCAAAGGGTAGAAATTATAGAGATGCGGCCATCCTAGCGACGGCAGGAGTTGCCCAGGTGGTGGACCGCATCCGAAAATTGGGACTAAAGGTCGCCCTGAACAAATCAGAGGCGATCTGTTTCCACGGGCCTAGGAAAGCACCGCCAGCCGGGGCGAATATCGTTGTGGGTGGCGTCTCCATCGGTGTCGGGTCGACTATGAAGTACCTGGGACTGGTCCTCGACAGCCGGTGGAACTTCAAGGCCCACTTCAGATATCTCGCCCCAAAACTCATGAGGACGGCATCGGCATTGTGCCGAATTATGCCGAATTTGGGAGGCCCGCACATGGGGTGTCGTCGCCTCTTCGCCGGGGTCATTCGATCCATGGCCTTGTACGGTGCTCCTGTGTGGGTAAACTCCCTTCACATACGGGAAAACATGACGGCACTTCGGAGGCCGCAACGTGTGATGGCAATAAGGATGGTGCGTGCCTACTGCACTGTTGGCCGGGAAGCGGCCTGTTTGCTTGCTGGTACCCCTCCCTGGGAGCTCGAGGCCAAAGTGCTGGCGGAGGTTTACCACCATACTGCTGACGCAAAGCGCAGCGGCAACCCGCCGGCGCCGCGGGAAATCGAGCACTGGAGGGAGGAGGCCCGCAACACTATTGTGGACGAGTGGTCGGTCTGTCTGACGGAGCCCAACGCGGGTCACCGGACGATCGACGCACTGCAGCCTTGCATGCGAGAGTGGCTGGAGCGGCGTGGCCGATCTCTCACTTACCGGATGGTGCAGGTGTTGACCGGGCACGGCTGCTTCGGTAGATACCTGCACAGAATCGGTCGTGAGAGATCAGCCGATTGCCACCACTGTGGTAACAGTGACGACACCGCAGAGCACACCGTGGAAGTGTGCAATGCGTGGGCGCCGCATAGGACAACACTCCGTGCGGCAATTGGACAGGATATTACGCTGCCGGCTTTGGTTAGGGCCATGGTCGGCGGCGATNAAGTTATAGAGATGCGGCCATCCTAGCGACGGCAGGAGTTGCCCAGGTGGTGGACCGCATCCGAAAATTGGGGCTTAAGGTCGCCCTGAACAAATCAGAGGCGATCTGTTTCCACGGGCCTAGAAAAGCACCGCCAGCCGGGGCGAATATCGTTGTGGGTGGCGTATCCATCGGGGTCGGGTCGACCATGAAGTACCTGGGACTGGTCCTCGACAGCCGGTGGAACTTCAAGGCCCACTTCAGATATCTCGCCCCAAAACTCATGAGGACGGCAGCGGCACTATCTCGCATCATGCCGAATTTGGGAGGCCCGCACATGGGGTGTCGTCGCCTCTTTGCCGGGGTCATCCGATCCATGGCCTTGTACGGCGCTCCTGTGTGGGTAAACTCTCTACACATACGGGAAAACCTGACGGCACTTCGGAGGCCGCAGCGTGTGATGGCAATAAGGATGGTGCGTGCCTATAGCACTGTCGGCAGAGAAGCAGCTTGTGCGCTTGCTGGTACCCCTCCCTGGGAGCTCGAGGCCAAAGTGCTGGCGGAGGTTTACCACCACACTGCTGCCGCAAAGCGCAGCGGTAACCCGCCGGCACCACGGGAAGTCGAGCACTGGAGGGAGGAGGCCCGCAACACTATTGTGGACGAGTGGTCGGTCTGTCTGACGGAGCCCAGCGCGGGTCACCGGACGATCGACGCACTGCAGCCTTATGTACGAGAGTGGATGGAGCGGCGCGGCCGATCTCTCACTTACCGGATGGTGCAGGTGTTGACCGGGCATGGCTGCTTCGGTAGATACCTGCACAGGATCGGTCGTGAGAGATCGGCCGACTGCCACCATTGTGGCAACAGTGACGACACCGCAGAGCACACCGTGGAAGTGTGCAATGCGTGGGCGCCGCACAGGACAACACTCCGTGTGGCAATTGGACAGGACATTACGCTGCCGGCATTGGTTAGGGCCATGGTCGGCGGCGACNAAATTGTCGTTATAGTGAAACTATTCACTGATTGAGCATAGCACAGTGAGTCACTATACTAGGTCACTATTTAAAATATTGTTAATTTATGAATATCGAGAAATGCGCGATGTGCACGTCTGCACTCGTCGAAAGTCCAAACAGTGATCCCGTGAGGCCATGCGAGTGCGAGTGGTTCCGTGAGGCCATGACGCACGTGTGCGATGCGGCGATGCCCAGAGTCAGGGCGTTGCCGGCCCGCACTGCAGTGCACTGATGGTCTCCGGAACTAACTCGGCTCAGAGAGGCGTGTGTTGCGGCAAGGCGCTGCTATTCCCGGCACAGAAGAAGACGTAACCGCGATGAAACGCGGGATAGTCCGCTTTACGCGGTATACCAGGACGCAAAGAAAGCGCTGAGGGGTGCGATAGGGGCGGCCAAAAACGCCGCCTGGGAGGAGCTTCNTATTTAAATAATTATATATTTCAATAAATTATATGATTTCACTAACGATATTGCTAAGCGGTGGTTATTTAATGTTATTATAGGATGCACCCGACTTGGGGTGCGATGGTGAGGGACCTCCCCGTGGTGCATCCCGGGCAACGTCCGCGTGTTCTGTCACGCGGGCGGCTGACTCCTCACCGGCGCGGCAGGTTGCGTCAACTCGGCGGGCCTGTCGGGCGACCCGTTACCCCCCAACGGAGGGGGGCCGGGGGCCTCGGCTACGGAAGCCGGGGCCAAGACGAGGAAAAGTCAGTAAAACCCTCAAACGTCAAGGTCTGGCGGGGGCCAAGGAACGATATCGGGTCCTATTAGGCTCGATATGGTCGGTGGAGTAGCACCGGCCGTTACCCCGCCCGGGAAGTTGGTGGGGCAGCTGCGCCCGCAAGCAGTCAAAAACTATGAACGGTGTTGGCAAAAGTTATATTCACCAGGCGGGTCCCGGT